ATGACGACGCGCTGGCGGAGATGGCGGCCGCGGCCGTGGCGGGGAATGCGTGCCGGGGGGCCGAGAGCATTGTGCGGGAGGGGATCCGGTTCGGGAGCAGGGATAATGTGGCGTTGGTGTTGGTGAGGTTGCACGCGAATAGGGCAGACGTGGAGAGAGGCGGGGGGGAGAGGGAGGGAAAGGAGGTGGGGGAGGTGAGCACGAGCGGGCGGCCGAAAGTCGGCAGCGGGATGCGCACGGTGTATTGGGAGGGCAGCCGCGTGACAGAGAGAAAGCGCAGTGGCGGGGGGAGCGGAAGTATGCTACGGAGAAGGAGCTCGCGGAAGTGAAATATGCGCGATGCAGGCCACGATCGTTTTTTTAATAGATTTTTAGTACAGGACTGCCGCGCACGGCTACCACAGTTTGTTGGAGGAGGAAGCAAGGCATTGCGAGGCTGCCCCCTCGCGCGCATCATGCCCGTCAGGCCGAATGGCACCGAGAAGCAGCCTCGCGCCCGCGCCTCGTGCGCATGAGGATGCGCGCGTTCGCGAGAGGCCGCCGCGAGATGAAAGGCGATTACGATCCATCTGCATCAATGCACCGTACGTTTCATTCTGGACTCATAGGACGCGTTTGTACTGGGCCTTCACGTGAAGTAAAGCTTTAGAATCTTGCACCTCCGGTGATCTCCCCGTTATGCAAAGCATGGTATGATTACCTTGGAGGTTGCCGGATGGGTTTCTCGCCGCAATTGTAAAGCATGATGCATCCCGATTAAGCTAACGTATCGATGATACGCGGGTATCGATTAAACGGGTATCGAGGCTACGCATCGTATCGAATGTACGGTATGCCCTGGAGCCAGTGCTGATGACACAACCACTTGATGCAAAAATAAAAAATAAAAAATAAATTTTACGGTATGCTCTCGACCTTGAAACCTGTCGCGATGCATTTCAGTGTAATGCCCTAACATTTCTTAGACGCATGTGGATGAATTTGTGCTCACCGGCAACCTCACCGGACCTCCGCCTCCCGAACAAACGAATAATTCAACATCTTTCGTCAAAGGGCGGGCGCACTTTCGACTTGTTGCCAAAAGCGCAACAACTCTTTTCTTGCTTGGTCGAGTCTCTACCCTTGGGTACCTAAGCCTAAGTTGCTTTCGAACATTCTGTAGAACGTTGCAGTCTCTTGTAAAATCCATTCCAAACTAGTTAGAATCGCCGCATTTGTTGCCAAAACCTGCATTTTCGGCCCTCTCAACTCCATTACTAATTAGTCGATCGAGGAGGGGCGCGTCGGGGAGCGCCATGTCGTCTGTCCGAGGAGCGAGTGCAAGGCGGTGGTGAAACCCGGCGGAGGTTCGGGAGCTTGTTGCGAAGGACGTCTATGACAAGTATGCCCGCTTCCTGCGCTTCCTGCTGCAGAGGGCGTTGGAAGGGGACGCGGAGATGATGCCGTGCCCGAGGGAGGGCTGCGTGCAGATGGCGCCGGTGGATACCCATGATACCATGCAGTGATCGATAACAAATTCAGTTTTCAGCAGTGCAAGGGAGTGTTTTCTGAGAGCGTGGCGCGCTGCGCATACTGTCTGTACGTGTTTTGCGTCGCGTGCAAGCGCAAGTGGCACGTGCCACTGGCGTGCGAGGAGGCCGTTGCTGATGGCGAAACGGAGGATGCGAGGGAGATTGCGGAACGGCTGCAGGACGCGACGGAGGAGTAGCGCCAGCGCAAGAGCGCCAACCTCTCCGTGGCGACCTGCGAAAAGGTCGAGACCGCCATGCCTTTGTGCGAGATGCGCGGTAGGCTCTGTCCGAAGTGTGCTATCTTCATCATCAAGAACGGCGGCTACGCGCTTATGACGTGCGCGTGCGGCTGCAAGTTCTGCTGCAACTGCGGCGAGGACACTTTCTACGAGCATTACCGCCCCGGTGGGTGTAGGCTGTGTGAGGGTGCCGAGATGCAAGCGGTGCATGAGCAGATTTATGACTGGATTTACGACTAGGCTGTCCCTGGAGGGTGGCGACGTAGAGTGGAGAGACGTGAAGGATGGGGAAGGTGCGTATACCAAGAGCTACGCTTGTTGGGAGCACTGTCAACAAAAGAGGGCCGGCCATCTGGCACTCCTTTTTTTCGAAGCCGCACTTCTCGTAGAACGGGGCATTGTCTTCGGCGCAATCTAAAATCACATTGTAGCAACCCTTCTCTCTCGAAATTTCGACCAGTTTGGAGATGATCTTCTTCCCTAGCTGCGCCTTCCGAAACTCAGAATCCACGATAATGTCCCCAATATGTCCGCAGATGCTGCCGCCTCGGATGTACTTGTGCTCCATCATTACAGCTCCGGTCGCCACCACGGACCCCTCCGCGGTGACGGCCACGATGATCGTGCGTAATCCGTCGGCTCGCTCCTTCATAACAAGCTCGGCAAAACTTCGCTCGGGGGATGGCGGGCGCATGCGTCAACTGAGATAAAATCTTGAAGAGACCATTGTCGCCGTCCCCAGCTTCTACCGCCCTTATCCTAATCTCTGCCATTCTGAACGGCGCGAAGCTGATGGGGGCAGTTCACGGGAAACTATCCCGTTTTCCTCTCGGATGCAGGGATTGGTGTGGTCCCTATTGGAATCGTGCTTTGGGAGAACACCAATGCCGGGACGGGGTGGCTCTCCAGCTCGAAACTGTTCCAGCACATCTAAAGAAAATAACCATTACATCGTAGATTATGATGTCAAATCGCTCTGTGGCGTGTTCCAGGAGATCCTATTCCCTACTTGAAGCCAAGGCCTGAAACGTGATTATTATGTTACATCCCAAAGGAGCACGAGCGATCATTCCAATACAGTGCAATGCGGTCTATGCGTTCAGCTTCATGCCCATGCATTGTACTTTTAAATCCTGCCGCAGCTCTGCTCTTTCGCTATGCCTGTTGCCAATACGCACAGCTCGCAAGTGTGTAAATTTTGACAGCATCTATCGCTAGTAGTACAGTAGCATGTAGAATACAGAGCTCTCCGTCAGCGGTCCATTCAGGGAGCTTTGTTTCTTGCCAGATTGTTACGCTACTGATCACAAGGACCAACAGGAATGACTAAATCGTTTTGCCCGACCATGCCTAAAAGCCTAAAAGCAGTAGATCTCTGAGATGGTGCCCATGTCTTAGTTCACAAACGTCCATGGCATTGTGTGCACGATGTGGTACCAGCAAGACTGCAAAACGCGAAAAATTTTGGCGCCGGGATCACAGATGACGTTTTCGTAGTCCGCTCGAGAGAAGGGCAGCACGGCCGTAAAAGCACAAACTCATATTGCGCATGCGCCTCCTAAACTTCTAAGGAAGGTTTTTTTTTTTTTCACAGTGCGCCTCTCTAGAGCATACTTTACCTCGAAGCCGATGAACACTTTTTATTCTTTGAGGCGCAGGTTTTCTTCCACGACTTTTGCATTGCACTCGCAAGTCTTCCACTGAGAAAGAAGAACAAACGCATTTTTCAAGAGCGAAAGAGGGAATGCGTAGAAACTACTGAGGGTATGAATCGAAAGGCTTTACTATATATATACAACATGCTACAGAAAAATAAATTAAGGGGCAACTAAAACTGGAGGCTCCTTTCCAGTAGCGGTGAGAACAGTTTTATACTCGCCGGAGAACCGAAAAGACATTTGTTCTCGGTTCGAGGTCAGAGCTGTAGTCCATTCCTTTCAATCTTGGCAAGCTTCAATTGCCATTGGAGTAACATGGACCCCATCCGCGACAGATTCTAGACTCTTCCCAAACCTAGGCTTCCATACCTTTGCCAACCGCAATTTACGGGCCTCCAAAAGTGAACGTGGTTGAAAGCATCCCGCGAGTGGCACTTGCCTCGAAGTGCGGCGGGGTACGCCTCGGCCTAGATTCATGCTATCAAGCATTGCTGCAAGCTGAAAATGGGCGCCGGTGTGATATCCTTTCTTCAGTTCCCCCCTTCGACGAGATGAAGACTTCGTTCTGTCGGCACAGGGTTGCAGAGACTTTTCAAGTAAAACAAATGACGTCAGAATGCCCAAATAATCCGGGGAATAAATCTCCCTGAAACATTGTACGGCTGAACTTACTCTGGTGGCGAGTCTAGAAGTATCTTTGACCGTGTACATCGTGAATCACTGTGTGTTCAAGAACAGCAAGCGATTTCGATGTTGACGTTTCGGGGCTTCAAAAATTATGTGTGAGGAAAAAGACGCTGCTCGTCTCGGTGAGCTGGAAGGCTGAGTATAAATACTAAATTGAGGCATAGCAATACCGCAATCTTGAATCCCTAGGATTCTCAGTCGTACAGCAATTGAAGATGAATTCTCGTCCTTCCGAAACCCAATTCTTTCACACTAAAAGTCCCACGCAGAAGAGGGGTTTATTTTTTGGGATGAATTTGGGTAATATGTGTTTGTCTTTCCGTCTGTTGAGGGACAGAAGCAGTCAGTTATCATCTGATTTCTCAGTGTCGGGTGCAGTGACGTAAGAGTAGTAAAATTTCGTGCTGGACCAGAGGAGCTGCACTCGGCTGGGCATTTCAAAGGACAATTGCATACACTGAATACAGATTTTGAAGGTGTCCTCTACACTCCACTTTGGTTCAAATACCATAATGCGTGAGATGGTGCAATTTGCTCATCACTGTAGGCATACGAACATCTATGGCGTGGTCTGAAGCGATTCTCTTCCGACACACGGAAAGGAAAGGACGGTTTTTCAATAGATGGTTATTAGTATTATTATTATTGTATTAGAACTTTCGCCCAACTTGTTGTTTCTGATTTCCCCCCTTTTCTTCAGTTATGCATTGCCTTTCTGATAGTGTTTCCCCCAAATTCATCTTGTCCTATGATTGGAGAAGCAGCTATCAGGTATGGAGCCTATCTCATCGAATCTCCGGACGAAAAAGAGCATCGAGCCAGTTTTTTATTTGAATACGTCCTCTGTAAACATAACCTTTGCCTCTCTAGTTGCAGGACGCCGATCGGATTCGGACGAAGTCCAGTACAGGGGATGCTACCCATTAGTGCCGCGCCCGTGCGAGGCCCCAAAAACATGCACTATTGGGAGATGGCATTAGTACAGGTGTGAAGTTACGCTGGGCGGGCTGACGTTGCAACGAGTGAGATAGGTGATTGACGGCGAGATCAGAAGGCACAATGCCCGGAAGTTGCTGGTTCCTTTGATTAATTCGGTGCCCCTTTTTCCTAGCGCATGTTCTCGTATGTCTATCTTTTATACCGCTCGTGCTAATCGCTTTTCCGCGTCAATTTCGTTTATGCGCGCTGTGTCGCGTTCGCAAGCAGTCAGTGGCATTGCGTCTGTCCGCAAGAAAGGTTCGGCGCCCTATCCGTTCTAGCTTTGTGCATTTGTGCGTCCGCTTTATGCTGCGTTCCATTTAGGTAGCATGCGACCCTTGGCGTTCGTGGCATTGCTGACGAGGGCTCGACATTTCATTAAAAGGGCGTTGGCCTCTTGCATTCGTGGCGTTGCTTCAGAGGGCGCGGCATTTGCATTAAAGGGCGCAGCATTTGCACCAAAGGGCGCGTGCTGTACATACTGATATAATCAAGAAGCGCGTGGTTCGTGTGAGCCCTAATTGGCTATCTCTTATTGAAGCCTCTGACAACAGGGAGGACGCCCATTAGTGCCGCTTTTGCTTATGCCACCCTCCAATTAATGCAGACCAGACGCACGAACACGAAAAGTGCCACGTGTCACACGGGTCCATGCTGCCGTCCGTCCGTCCCGCGTGATAACATGTGAAAGCGGCTTGATCCTATTCACCGAACAGCGTTTGCAGACCTTAGATTGTCCTCCTTATGGATCCGGTTCCGGAAATAAGAAAAGCAACGCACAAGCGCTCACAATAGCGCAAAAGCTGGACATTGCAGATCTGCTCGACAATGGACACTGTGCCGCAGCAATTAAGCGGTTTGGAGAGCTGGAAGTTTTAGCGACTGAATGCCAAGTTTCAGACGCTCTATCGTATCTGAGGTCTGCAAAGCGCGCGTTTCTCACTGCAAAACACGACAGAGAACCAACCCGGAGCAGGCAGACGTAAATTACCGAGTGCATGAAAATAGATGTGACACCGTCACCTGGTGCCCTCGGCAAAGTATTCTGTAACGCAAAAAGGGAGGCCCTGTCTTTTTAAAACCAGCTGGACATTAATGAAGCCAGAATCGCGTGGATAAACGCCTTCCATTACGGGATGACACTGGAGGAACAATTTCTTCTATAATGCTGGCCACCCTACCCTTTGGCAACGGGGTCGTTCTCCTCGGCAAGATGAATGGTTTCTGTCAGGATGACACTACAAGAAAAATTCAAGCCATACACTGGTTTTCGGGTTTCACGCTTTGTTTCCTGCAGAAACGGCGTTCAATCTTTGGGATGTACTTCCACGCTCTTACACTGTAGCATACGTAAAACTTGTACGGGTCTGCGGCCGAGGAAGGTTCGTTTCCGACCTCTACAAACAACTGAACCAAGAATGTGCGTCCTTTAGTAAGAACCGAAGAGCAAGTCCCGCCATCCAACACTGTTCGTTGCGTAGAAGAACTTCTGTGGTGCACAGCCCTTGAATACCGTCATCAGACGGAGCTTGAAAGTGTACGTGAGTACCCCCAGTAATGGAATTCCGGCTCGGAAACGTCTCACCGAAACTGCCCTTGCCATGGCAAGGGTTTTCGTGGAACCATACCTCTCCTGAAACGTGACATCTGGACAGCTGCATGCCGAAGCGATTGCAAGGCTGTAAATCAGAAGGAGAGCAAAGGAAAGGCCTCTCATGGCTTCGCTAATCTTTGTGGAAGTCTTGAGTATGGCAGGTGCGTGTATCTTATCGGCCTGGGCGAATACCCGTGATCCTCGCTTCTTTCGCGTTGGTCAGTCTTATACTGTATACAAACCCGGTTTGAACAGACTTTTGTAAATTCAGAAAAGTCAGAAAACCCCTGAATCACCGATTGAGCCTACCTTTGCATGATAGTGACAGTCTGTTAATACAGAAATCATATCAGAATGGTCACCACCTTTGCATGCATCATGGGCCCGACGCTTTGTGGTCACATCGGAAAAATCTCACAGCTTCTAAGTGCATGTTTGTTTGCACAACACTGTAGTTGCGCCTCCGTTCAAAGGGGATATGAGAATGTGAAAACACCTATTAGTCTTTTTACCCGCACAGAATCCCCGCTGTAGCCTTAGCAATCGCTTGGGCTCAGTACAAGTGGTAAATTCAAACAACATGGTTCATCCGTAACGGCCAAAGTGAAGGTTTTGGTATGGAGTGAAAACTTTTCAACAACATAGCTTCATTTCTAAGGCGTCACTTCCCGCTTGCAGTTTTCCGATGCCATCAGTAGTCGAGACGTCTACAGATGAAAGAGGTGAATTTGACCCCAGTTTGCAGTAATATCTGCTGCCTTCGACGCACTTTGCTGACCGCCGGCCTATATTAATTTCCACCAGTGTAGATGGCGCGGTATCTACCTGCACCCATGAGGGCTAGTTCCCTCACTCGGAATTGAGGAACGCAAAGAGATTCTCTCTCGGATAAATGATGCTGCAGCTTTCAATACCCACGAAATGCATGGGTTCTGTCCAAAAATGTCGTGAGAGATGTCTGTCATTGTGACGGATTGATTTTGCAGCGTTGGTAATTTTACTTGAAAATTGGGTATATTTTATTTTGATTTTAGTATGTTAATTGTGTGGACTCCACACAATCAACATACAGGGGGTACCCTTCCCCGAGGGGACAATTTGGTAGTTATTTTGATGGAGCCTAACAAGTGTTTTATAGCACTATTCTGGGCTACCAAAAATCGTCTGCTACAGCCAGTGGGATGTCCATGTGCCATAGACGACGAAAGGACGCGGGCGAAAACAATCTGTTTGAAGCCATTTGACATTTTCACACACGTGCAAAAAGGGCTCAAATGAGAAAAAGGGCTCAAATGAGAAAAAGGGGCAATTTGGTAATTTTAGTTATGAACCGGAAAGCCATAACAGAGATTGCACAACCTCATCTTCACCCCCTTTATCCTTCCTGAAGGCATGCTTCGAGAGTGTACCGCTCATTGCCGCACCGTACCTCGCCCCAGACGAAGGCGAAAAATTCTTGTCGCGCGCGGACGAGAGCGGTATCTGGTTTTCTGATCTCGACGTTGACTTCGCACGGCCATTTTAACTCGACAATCGCAGCTGTGCGGGTTTGCGGTCCCGTTCTGCCTTCTTCTCATCTTCGAGTCGCCTTTCAGTAGCTAGTTTTACGTCTCTCTCTTTTCGGCTTTCAATTATTTCGTCCAAAGTCATATAGAGAGCAGGTGTCCCTTTTTGCAAATCAACACTTTTCGGACGAATTGCGGTCGAACTCTTACTTTTCGAGGAACGTGTGCTTGTCATAAGGATTTTGTTCACACTCCTGCTCTTGTTCAACAATATTTTAACATCACGGAGTCCTGTTGTAGGGTCATTTGCTGCCTCCAAACTGTTTTGAGCTTTCGAAAAGTCTGATTGACGGGGTTGCGAGTTCTATTTGCGACATTTACTAAAGCTGCCTGGCAACTTTTCGGGTCAAATGACACCGCATTTGGTCATTGTCTCTTAAACCTGTCGAGAGATGAAAAGTTCATTGGCCATAACCCCGTCTTTTCGAAGCTCAACTTAAATCTTATCAACAGTTATATCACTGTACAATGTATCCACCATCAGATTTGAGCGGACACTTCGCATGCCAAGTGCCGTTTGCTTATGAAGCAAGTCACGGTATTTGCGCATCTCTTTTTTGAAAGACCTGTTAATGTCCTGGTTGCATGGTTGTAAGAAATGAGTTGTGTTAGAGGGAGATTGGACGACCTCGCGCTTTTTTTGCTTGCATATCTCTAGCCACTCGTAGCCTTCTGGCGATGAGTGGCCGTCGAGAGTCATGCAGTAAGGAAGATCGGGGGGTATTTTTGTCCTCACAAACGTATCCACATGCTCCATTACAAAGGAAACAATTCTTTTTTCCATACTTCCCCTGTCTGTCGTCATGATTACGGTTCCATTGTGAAATCATTTTTTCAGATAACCTCTCCGTTTCAGGGGAATGGCATGTTATTTCGGTCTGCTGGAGTGGCAAGATCCATCCACTCATTACATTCTTACCCTCTATAATGAAAAGGGGTGTTATTTTGTGACCAGACGCAGAAACAGCTACAACGATTGTAATATGCTTGTTGTTTTTTCTAGCTTGACAAGCCACATACCCGCCAGGATTGGTAAGTGAGGACCCAAATATTTTAGTTTTCACTCCATATTGGCAGTCTCTAGCTGTCTCGTCGAGGCTCCAAAGCCGCGTCGGGTCCCTGAATATGCCTGGATGAGAATTTTGAACTTTTTTCAATGCTTCAGAGAACGTTGACACATGTGTGAAATTCTCAGCCGCCAACTTTGCCACATCTTTGTTCTCACTTTTTCGGTAAGTGATGTCTCTATTCACTGTCCGCCAGTGCCGGATGGTGTCTTGAGATGGGCTGCCAGATTATGTACCAAATCCTGGACGCCCATCAGACGCTATCTCAGTCATAATATTCTGCACATCACTATTTGAAAGTGCGAGACCCTTTTCAGATGCATATAAATTCCTTTTCTTAATCCAACTAGACTCTTGTTCACTAATAACTGGGCGGCGTCCTCTGCGATGGGCTTCGGGAGATAGGAGGGCGTCTATTTTCGATTCATCATGCTCTTGCAGATCGTGATAAATGCGATCTACTGTTGCCCGGAGTACTCGTGTCGCTCTCACGACGACGGACCTTTTCATACCGGTACGAAGGAGCGCGGTGGCCTTCTCTCACTGCGTTTTTGTCAATGTGTCTCGTTCTTGTCTTGTTTTTTCAATCGCACTCTGTAGTCGCATGGAGAGTCCCATGACTCACGCAATTCTGGAGTTGAAGTCATGATGTCGGTGCTACAGGAGAGAGGTTGATGGGGGTTGGGACGCAGTGGCGTAGCAGGAGTTTGAATTTTGCCGGACTTCTGCAACTAAGGGCAACGAGGGAGGACGTACTAAGTTGTACGAGTGGTGTTGGCATGTAGACGGAGCGTTTCGGAGAATCTGGAAGGGGAAGATTAAAAATTACCAAATTGCCCCCGATTACCAAATTGCCCCTTTCAGGAAAGGTACCATGATATCAGAGCACCCTTTGCCAACCTCTTCACACTGCTCTTAATCCGAGGTTTCTGCTGTTCAATAATCTCGCACAGGATGCCTATTTTACTCCTTAGCACGCTGTAGCGTCTCACCAATAAGCAGTTGCCAATTTTTATAACTGTGCTGGGACCAATTTTAAAACGCTTCATCACAGAAGAGGCGCTCTCGCCTTTTTGAAGACAACGCCCAGCCTC